GCCGCCAGGCCTCCACGGCCAAGGCCACACGGGCCCAGGCGCCTGCGCTGGGCGACCTGGCTCCTGAGAGGTGGGACCCGGGCCGCAGCCCCCACCTCAGCCTGGCCCCAGCCCACGCAGGCCACGGCCCAGAGAGCCCAGTGTGGGGATGGGACCAGACACGGAGACGGGGCAGAGAGGGAGATGGGGACTGAGGGCACAGGTGGAGGGAGGGGGAAGAGACGGGCACGAAGGAGGAGTGGACACAGGAGCAGACACCCTCAGGGACAGGCCAGGGCTCCTCTCCCAAGGCCCACGCACAGCGCCCCGGGCAACACACTCACGCCTTACAGTGGGGAACATACACGTGTGAACCCCAGGCCAGGCAGGAGCGGCTCCGGCCCTGAGCACGCCCAGCCCTGCCCCTCTGCGTGCCCATCTCCCTCCCTGCAGGGGGCTGCTGGCCGGCCTGGGTGACAGGGGTGGGCTGAGGCGCCAGGACCGTTCTTGAGGTCGGAGAGGAGCTGAGCGCCGGTGTGGGTGTCCCTCCTGCCCTGGGCAGCCCCACTATGGCCCCGGCCATGCCGCACTAGCACCAGACCTGCCCTTCCTCCTGGCGGGTGGGTGCTCCTGCGTCCTCAGACCCCACCGGAAAGGGCTGGCAAAGGCTCGCTGAGTAAGTGAACGAATGAAGGGACCAACCTTAAGTCATCCCCTGCTCCAGTAACCTAGACGTTACTGACATTGCTCTTACTGGCAAACTCCTATTCATCCTTCAAAACCCTGCTCTATCTGCACCAGCCTGTCCCCCCCTCAACCCCCCGCTGCTCCCTGCCCGGGGCTGCCACCAGGACCAGGAGGCAGCAGGGCTGGGACCAGAGGGCCCACCCAGGACAGCCTCTCACGTCCAGGGCACTGCCAGGCTCGGGGGCAGCCCAGGCCCAGCCCTGCACAGGCGCCCACAGGACCCCATGCACTTGGCACTGCCCCCATGGCTCCCAGCTCCTGCTTGACCTTCACATCAGCAAGACCCTGGCCCATCTGCGACCTTCCACCAGCCAGTGACCTTCACCCTGACCATGACCCTCTCCACACTGCCCCCTGCTGACAGGCCTGGGCGGCATGAACCCCAAGGTGCTGGGCCCGTGGGCCACGCTCGGCTCCCTCCTGCACAACGCCTCTGCCTCCCCCGGAGCCCGTCTGCGCCCCACCCGCAGTTCCCCCAAGGCTGTGGTGGGGGGGCACGGTGGAACGGGTCTCCTTCTTCCTTCACAAACGAGGCCCTTCCCATGAGTGGGCCCCTCCTGGGCTCAGGGCTCCCCGACCCTGAGGTCACAGTGGGCGCAGTGGATGCTGCAAACGGCTGAGCAGCAGGACAGGCAGGACTCACAGGCAGGGAGCTGAGCCTCTTGCTTGCCTTGGGCCTCAGCTTCCCTGCTTAGCAGCATCCCAACACCTGCTGTGGCGCCCAGCCTGCGCTGGGGGCTGCAGGCTCCTGGCTGGGGTGGGTGCGGGCCAGGGGCAGCTGCCTGCGGGCCGT